TATCCAGCTCTGACTCATAGAATGGAATGGGAAGGAAACACGGGTTTGTGACAGCCGGTCCATGGATCATATTTATGGTTCAGGTGGAATCAGATTTGAAGATGGCACTGGATATGATTAGTGATAATGAGGTTCGATATTGGTCTAAAATGGTTCAGGAAATCAAGCTGAGTGCGAAGAGGAAAGATTTGGCTTTTGGACATGTTATGCGTGAAGGAAATTGGGTTGCCCATTTCTTAGCTTTAGACCATGTTGGTCTAGCTAAAAAATATGTTAGCCCATCTTCTCTTCCAATCTGGGCCAAACGGGCTTTTTTCATGGATAAGTTTGGTATTCCATCTATTAGAATGTAATTTTCTTTTTGTCTGTTTTAAATTGGGTCAAGTATAGCCCCACCAATTGCTGATTTTACTTATTTTGGTTGTATTTTTGGGAGGAATGCCTCTCTTGGAAAGGTCTAGGTCTGGTCCCCCTTTCTCTTGTATCTTATTTTCTTATCAATAAAAACTTGGTAGATGTTCCCCGACATCTACCCCACTGATTTTGGTGGTTTACCTTCCGGGATAAAAAACAACATTATTTGTAACAAACATGTTTAATGCATTTATCCTCATCCGTTTTCATCAACTACATTTAAATTATTGTGTGACTAAATGTCATCGATTATATTATTAGTATCACTACTATTGTTATTATTGTTATTGTTAATGTTGTGTTGTTGTTGTTGTTGTTGCTGCTAGTTACTCCCTCCGTTCCTTAAAATTTTGCCAAATTTGGCTGTTACGGAGAATAATAAAGTAAAAATAGTAATGACCCTTAATAAGCGTAAAACATACGAAGTACAATTTTTCCCTAAATAGAAGTTAACTCCTATTTCTTTTGGGAATAAGGGGGTGTTTGCAACTACTTCTATTTAAAAAAAGTGCTTTTTCTAATGAAATTTGAAATAGTGATTAATTGTAAAAGTTGATAGTGTTTGAAAAAATTGATTTTACAAAAATGTGTTGAAATTGGAGTGTTTGGTAAAAAAGTGATTATTGATGTAGTTTTTTTTATTAATGTACAAAAATGCCCCTCTTTCATTAAACCTTTATGATCGGCGTATTTGGTTTCATGGAAAGAGAGAAGGGCATTAATGGGATACAACACATATTAACAATATAAATGTCCCCTAGTTGCCAAGAATTACCAAATTACCAAGAATTATTAGAAAGCTGCTTCCATAAACAAAGAAGTGGTATTTTGAAAACAACTATTTTGACATCCGTTGACAAAAAAGCCCAAAAGTGCTTTTCAGGAGTAGTTGCAAACAATGCTTAAAACTTGTATGTTGTTGTTGTTGAGGAGTTAACTCCTAATTTTCCCGAAATAGGAGTAAACATTATATTTCTACTTCAAGTATCCCTAATCTAACTAATTAATTGTTCCTAGTTCTCTTGAGCAATTGGGGCACTTTGTTTGTGGCGGAGGCAGACGGCAGCAAAGGTCTGGCGACCGGGGGTGATGGTGTCATGATGGTGGCATAAGAATTCTGGGAATTTTTTGTGGTGGCGGATCCGGCTTCCGGCCGACGGCGGAATGACTGGCGTAACGGCGGCGGCAAAACATGTATGAAAATTTTGGCGGATTCCAGCGGCCGGCAGCAACTCCGGCGGCAACTCCGCAAGGGGTAACCTTGTCCAAACTTCAAAGAGTACTCCTATTTGGGGAATTCTACAAGCATACTCCTATTTTTGTACTTTCTCTATGTTTTGCTCCTATTTAGGGAATTAACTCAAGTAGAAATTGTGTGTTTAAGATTTGGGGAAAAGGGTTAGATAGGCCCTCGAACTTGCATAAAAAGGTCAAATAAGCCCTTATATGAGAGGCTTTGTCCTGCCGTCGTCATTTGGGCCAATTACCGGTGGAATTTTTTGATGAAATTTTTTGAGCATCTTATTCATTAAGTCTAGTTTACTCATACAAAAATTTAGCTAAGATTTCAATCGGGAAAACATTCAAATGAATTCTTGAAGATAACTATACAGTGTACACAAAAAGTGTATACCATACATTTTTCCCGTAAAGATCAGTAGGGGTGTGCACGGGTCGGGTTCGGGCGGGTCGGGTTTGCAAACCCTAAACCCGTTCGGGTTTTTTAATTTAAATACTAGGCCCGACCCTTTGATATTTCAAATCGGGTATTTCGGATATTTTTAAGTCGGATATTATCGGATATCGGGTCGGGTTTCGGATATTTCGGTTCTATTAAAAAAATTATAATTGGATAATTAAATTGTTTAAATGCCACTTTGACAAAAATGGTACACACTAGTGCACTAAACTTCCAAATTACACAAATAATTTAACACAAATTTCACAAATAATTACACAAATAATTGAACACAAGTATTAATTTAACATAATCAAAGTACACACTACATAATGTAATATATTTCGGATATTTCGGTTATATTAAAACACATTATAATTGGATAATTAAAGTGTTGGAATGCCACTTTGATAAAAATTGTACACATTAGTGCATTACACATTCAATTTAAACAAATAATTTAATACAAATTGCACAAATAATTACACAAATAATTGAACACGAGTATTAATTTAAATATTCAAAGTACACACTAACCTATATTTCGGATATTCGGGCGGGTCGGGTTGGGATTTCACAAACCCTACCCGCCACCCAGTCTAGGCCCAATACTAATCGGATTTTCGGTTTCGGGTTTTTCGGGTCGGATATCCACTTCGGTTCGGATAATATCCGGAAAAAAATATCGGGTTTTTCGGGTCGGATCGGGTTTTGCTCAGCCCTAAAGATCAGGTGTGCACTTTGTACGGGAGCGCCAAATTGATCCCCACAAAATAGCATATGGATGTCTGGAGGGCCGTTCCTGTACATATGGATGTACAGGAAGTTCCGTACGGACAAAGCCATCCGAGGCCCTTCCCGGTCGAATTTTTTGATGAAATTTTTTGAGCATGTTTTTCATCAAGTCTAGTTTATCCATACCAAATTTCAGCTCAAAATTCGATCGGGAAGGCAGTCAAATAAATTCTTGAAATATACTGCACATTATATGTGCGCAGAATGCACCATATATTTCAAGAATTTATTTGACTGTCTTCCCGATCGAATTTTGAGCTGAAATTTGGAATGGATAGACTAGACTTGATGGAGAACATGCTCAAAAAATTTCATCAAAAAATTCCACCTAAAAGGGTCTCTAATGGCTTTGTCCATACGGGGCCCCGTACATCCATATGTACAGGATGTCTAGACATCCAGAGGATGTCTAATTTGTCTCCTAAATGTAACTGGAAAAAGTTTATCCGTCAAAGTTTATCAGCTAGTAGAAAGAGAGAAGCCGTACAATGGAGAAACCAAATAAGAGCATGAAGAACAACAAGAACAATGACACGAAATCTTCAAAATCAGCTATAACACTCGATCAGTTCGTGTCAATCATGAATCCCTTGATAGACTTGGAAAAGGTTATTCTTTTTTCCTGCTAGAGTTAATCTCCTTAGCACATTTGGCAGTTAATCAGAACTATAGTTTACTTCGAGTTATCTCCGTCCATTCTTTTCTAATATAGCTGTTTGTTGTTGTGCACATAATTGCTGACTTTTACTGTTGTGGGCACGCGATATTAACCAGGAAGCTGAGATTTCAGCTTCTTTGAGCTCCACCGAGACCAGAAGTTTGGATGTTGCTCAAAAGAAGGGATCCACTATCCTCAACTTGAAGTGTGTAGATGTACAGGTAGTCTATACTTTCTTTTTTTCTACAAAACTGTATTTTATTTCTGCTGGTTTGGTGAGCTTAGTTTTGTCATTGTGTAGACAGGGTTGATGGGCAAGACTATTCTCGAGTTCAAGTCAAATAAAGAAGATGTTCTCCCCCCTCACAAGGTATTCTTATCTCTGTTCTAAAAATCTCAGTCAATGTGGTAGTCTTGCATTGGTTGCCTACTTGCCTATGTTTCGTTCCCAAGTTAGCACATTGATCCTTCTATGTGTTAGTTAGCACATACTTAAAAGTTAAAACAAACCACCCTTTCTTTTCTCCAAGAGAGTCGTGTTAGATAAAGTTAGAATCTTTTAATTTTGGCACAGTATAACACTTAAAGATCATGGATTTTTTCTTATTTTCTTAAAATTTATATTTTTGCTTTAACTAAGGTTATCATAATGAACTTGTTTGTAACATTTTTGACAAGTTACTCAAAAAAGTAGTTCCCTTTTACGGAACAGGACATTTATGGGGATGTAAAAAGCTTTTGAAACATGATTTTTTGGGGGGTGAGGATGAACACTATGTTTGTGAGTTTACCTCTACACTTTGCACCATCAGTGTTTGTACGAGCAAATCCGATCTCTGAATATTGTGATATTTGGTGATGGCTATATCCTGCTAACATAGACTGATAGACCCTTGGGCAGGGGCAGAGGTAAGCGCATTGATGTGGGTCTTGCCCCCCCCATTTCCCAATTATCTTTACAGCTTATACACATTGGTTATTAATTTTGTTTCTAAAATCATGTATCCTTGACTAGTCCACCCCCACTTTCTAAGTTTTTATGGAAATCAATAATGAATAATATAACCTAATCGGTAACATTTTATAATCGTAATAAATATTTTCTTAAAATTTCATGTGTAACTCTTTGGGACTGGTCCTTTTTAGGTGCTATATTTCTTCAAAGCCTCTTGTTTTTGCAGACAAGAGTATAATTTACAACTAAAAAATCTTTGATAAAATCTGAATTTTGATTAGCGAAAGTTGCCCCTGCTCGGTAAGCATTTCTATCTCCGCCCCTGCCCTTGAGGATAATTTACTTTACAGTGTGTTCTATGTGTTCCATATAGTAACCCCTCTCAACTATCTTTTTCTTAATAAACTTTTGGGTTGGCAGTTTGGGACCCATGACGTTGTTGTTTTGAAGCCAAACAAGGCTGATTTAGGTTCTCCTTCACTTGGACAAGGAGTAGTTTTCCGAATCAAGGTAACTCTGCTAGTCTGCTGCATTGCATTTATCAACAGACTGCTGAATCAAATGAATATAATTTTACTTCAAAGTATGTGTTGTAGTTTGAATCTGGAATATTGCTTGGCCATTCTTCATGCTTTTCTTATGGAACAGGACTCATCTATTACAGTTGCTTTTGATGATATTCCAGAAGAGGGATTAAATAGTCCCTTGCGTCTTGAGAAAGTGACAAATGAGGTAAATTTAGAAGCCAATTTAGTTCACTTTGGTTTAGCTGATTTATATTGACATTTTGCAAAACCAGTCTCTTCCCAGTTACTCTGTGTCACTCCTTAAGAGTTCTATCTACTGTGAATGTATTCAAAGACGTTCAGATAGAGCTTCCTAAAGTGAAGAGGGTCTTTAAAATCCAGGAAAAGTGGCCCTTTTCAGATATTTGCTTTATTTGGAGTACTTTTTGCAGGTCACATATCGACGGATGAAAGACACGCTAATACAGCTAAGCAAAGGTGTTCGGAAAGGCCCTGCTTCTGATTTGGTACCTGTTTTGTTTGGAGAGAGATCACCAACAGTTTCTAAGAAAGATGCGCAGTTTACCCTCTTCAATCGTAACCTTGATCACTCCCAGGTATTTAAGGTCCCATCTATTCTAAAATTTTCCACACACGGGGCTTTAGTCCCTCTCCCTGTCTCACTATTTTCCCCCCTATTTTCATTTCCTTCTGATTATACCTCTTTAAAACTTTCTGCAATACTTCAACTGTTTTCTTCTAAAGATGCTTTGAACTGATTATACCTCTTTGCTTTTATTATATAGTTTTTAACAATCACCTGAGTTTTTGGAAACTTAGTGACCTATACTAAGGGGGTGTTTGGATCTACTTTTGAAAACTGCAGAAGCAGATATTGGAGTGTTTGGGTTAAAATGCAGAAGTACTTATGAGGGCTCCATAATGCTCTTAGAAGCAGTTTTTTAGAAGCTGGGAGAGATGAAAATTGATTCTGATTCTACTTGTGCTTTTAAAAAAGAAGCAGAAGCAGAATCAATTCCAAACACCCCCCCTAAGAAATATTTTAGCTAAAGGCTTGAAGATTATGAAGCCATAATTCCATAACGAAACAGTTAAAATTCAAAAATCGTTTGCCTTTAACTCATTTGGTCTCTTTTAGCTCCCCTGCTTAGTATCTCTGCCAAGTAAGATTTACGTTGCAGTATGATTGATTAGATCTGGTAAAGATGGGAATTATCAAACATCTACCAACAAAAGTCACAAAACTTTACTTGGTCTGCCTAGGGGAGAAGTTTAAGAACTTTGTCATTTCCACCATAGTTTTTGTTGACTAATTTACTCTGTAAAAGCATTCTAGCTCAGTTGAAGTGTTAAAATAAAAAAAATGTAGTCTAAATGATATTTTTTTTTCTGTAAAGAAAGATGCCATCTCTAAGGCGCTTTCGTCTAAGGATGTATTTTTGCTCCATGGACCTCCTGGAACGGGGAAGACAACCACTGTTGTTGAGATCATCTTGCAAGAAGTGAAACGGGGATCCAAAATTCTTGCTTGCGCTGCTTCAAACATTGCTGTTGATAATATTGTCGAGCGGCTTGTTCCTCACAAGTAAAAATAACTTTATCACAATTACTTTACCTTCACTAAAACAATATCCATTTTCAATTATAATTTAGACTAAATGTAAACTGGTAAGTGAAATGAAAGTATTGTTGTGTTCTGCACTTGTGCTATTATTCATCTGTGAGCAATATCTTCATGATGTTAAATGTTTTTAGTGAGACTGATACAACTTATTCCAGCAAGATATGATATTTCAGTTACTTATTGAATGTAATTATCATCACATTTACTTCATATTAGTCACTATGATTTGGTATGTATAGGTGCTTAATGTGTTTTGGTCAAACAACAACTTGGGGTTACTAACATTATAATTGTATTGCTGCGTGATTCTCCATTGTGACCAGAGTAAAGTTGGTGAGAGTCGGGCATCCTGCTCGTTTGCTCCCTCAAGTGTTGGATAGTGCTCTTGATGCTCAGGTAGTTTTCACCTTTGTTTGGAGATAAAGGTTAGATTGTAGGATGTTATTGTCCTAAGTCCTAAATTTGAACTCATTATCACTCGATTTATTTTGTAAATATTTCTGTTTCTTTCTTTGTGTGTAATACACGTATGTTTCTCTCTCTTAGCTTCAAAATATGTTCTACTTCTGAAAAAGATTGAAATACATATTCATAAACATACATACTTGCATACATACATAGACACACACATGTGTACTTAAATATATACAAACATATGTCTGTGTGTCTGTGTTAGTTTGCAGATTCACTGATATATTGTGATGTATTCGTAAAATTGTTTCTCTTGCTGAAATGATGTGTTTAGTTGGTTTACATCACTCTAGTAGAGAGTCCCCCTTTGAGGAATATTAGTTCACTTGCTTTGCGTTTTTTTTAGTTCCTGAAGCCTTGTTTGGGGTAATTGATACACCTTCAACTCAATGTCATGTAGGTTCTCCGTGGTGATAATAGTTCACTTGCAAATGACATACGCAGGGAGATGAAGGTAAAATCTATACTAAAGCATAACTAGTTGATCTTTTGATTTTGCAAAAAATGATCTGTTTTGCAAAAGAAATATCAAATCTCTGACTTTTAAAAGTGTGAAATCCTTGTCATCCATATCTTCTTAATTTCCTGAAGAGTTGATACACAAATAATGGAAAATAGTCTGTACTTCTTTCTTTGTACACTCTTTACTTTTGAAGCCAAAAAGCTATACAAAGTTTGAACGTCGATCATAGTGTATGTGTAGTTTCATCTGTTTCCTTCTGTAGGCTTTAAATGGGAAATTGTTAAAAGCTAAAGATAAAAACACAAAGAGGGAGATTAGGAGAGAGCTCAAGACTCTTTCCAAAGAAGAGCGTAAAAGGCAGCAGCTGGCAGTGACCGACGTGATAAAAAATGCTGATGTGGTGCTAACAACCTTGACTGGCGCATTGACACACAAGTTGGGAAGCACTTCGTTTGATCTAGTTATAATTGATGAAGCTGCTCAGGCACTTGAAATAGCATGCTGGATTGCTCTGCTTAAGGTATTTTAAAAGAGGGATACAATAAAACCTCTATAAAACATTAGTCTTAGGACCTTACCACTTTATTACAATTAAGATGCTATAACTGCATAGAGGTATTAATAATTTGATACAAACTATTAGGAACACCGAACACCAAAAACAATAACTTTGACATCAATAGGCATATAATAACATTATAACACCCTAAATTCCTAGTAGTTTTTAACCTTTATATATAATGAAGCAACACTGTCAACGTAAAGCTGGCTGAAGTCATATGTTGTCTGAATAGGTTTCAATATATTCAATAGAAAAGTTAAAGAAAATATAAAATGTTTTACCCTTTTAAGCTAGAATTTGTATGTTTTCAATTATACACAACTGAAAAGATTTTTAAAGCTAATAGCTAAACTGAAATGAACAGTACTATAATACTACCTTCGTCCCAAAATCCTTTTTTGTCCGTTCCAATATAAACTCTCGCTTTTCCTTTCATGGGAAAAATGTGGTTCATATTATTTCTCTCATCTGCACAACTTTTGGCCATACAATTTTCACTTCTTTAATCCTTGTGCCAAGTCAAAAGAAGAATTTAATATGGGACGGAGGGAGTATAATTAGTCGTTTTAGTGAATGTAACATGTGTGTGTCTATATGACTATATGCACGCACACGTATGTAACTCTATAGAGCTATATTTGCTAAATGTAGAGGTTATTCCAAGTTAGAACCATATTTTTAATAGCAAAGTAGAGGTTGTTCTTGTATTAGGCATTGTTTTCTAGGGTTTTACTGTTCTCATGTCTACTTTTTTATTCCTCTATTGTATGAGCTAATACAATGAGTTGGTTTCAAGGGTTCAAGGTGTATATTAGCTGGAGATCACCTCCAGCTTCCCCCAACCATTCAAAGTGTTGAGGCAGAGAAGAAAGGATTAGGAAGAACATTGTTTGAACGTATTGCAGACTTGTATGGTGGTGATGTCATGTCTATGCTCACTGTCCAGTATCGTATGCATGAACTGATAATGAACTGGTCATCGAAAGAGCTTTATGACAGTAAGGTGCATACCCACTTATTGATTACGATTTATTTGAACTGCTGATCAGTTACCAGTTGTGCTTGTGAGCATGTTGAGATCTGATTCTGTTTGGGATTCTGCTGAGTTGTTTCTCTAGATTGAAGCACATGCAAGTGTTGCTCAACATATGCTGTATGACCTTGAGGGTGTGAAGATGTCAAGTTCTAGCGAGCCGACCCTAGTTCTCATAGACATAGCTGGGTACCGTTTTTTAACCTCAATTGTCAATGTTACAGATGATGGTAAAGTGATTCTTGTGTGTGTGTGTGTGTGAAAATGGATGATACTAGGTCAAAACATAAATAGCTTCTTTTTGGAGAGAAAATGAGTGACTTTATGGATGCACATGTGTCCTATTTGTGAAACGTTTTTGTTAGGGAAGAATAAAAGAAGACATGTTTTTTATGCTTGCAATATGTGTGCGTGTGTAAATTGTGTAATGTATATGCATATTTATATGTAATGTATATGCATGCATATGTAATATATATGTTTATACATATATACATATCTACATATATGTATATATGTATGTTTATATGTATATGTGATTGTGTGTGCGCGCGCGTATAATCTAGTTCAAATAAAACTTCATCTTAGATGAAAAGTAAGAACTGGTCTTCATCATTTATTAAGTGCAAAACATGGTGGTATTAATGTACATACAAAGAGTTTTAATAGAAATACGAGGATAAAAGTGACTCACTATATACAAAAAGTGCATCAAAATTCAAAATAAAATGTACATAACCAAAATAATGTGATTAGAGTTCTTAAACACATACAAGTACAATTTTATGTAAACATTATGCGCTTTATATTATAAAATGTTACACATTAATGTTTTAAATATTTTACAATTTTAAAGCGGTCTCTCCCTCGGCGTAGGGTTTCGTTTCTCCGCAAGTCGACAGCGACTTTGTGCGGCTAGGTTTCTCTGCCTCCGTCTCGTATGAAGGCTTCGCAGGAAAGGATCAACAGCGATGAGAATTCCTTACCTGTGCACTATTACTGGGGAAATACAAAAACTCATGGACTGGGAAAAAAGTGGAAAGTGTTCTGTTATGCATAGAACACATTCAAATTTGTTAGGAATATGGATCCTCTGTAGTAATTCCACTGTATTTCTCTTCTGCTTCTTATTGCCCGCTTCTTAATGGCATCTGTTTCAGTTGTGATATGGAAGAGAAAAAAGATGAGGAAGATAGCACATTGAATGAGGGTGAAGCTGAGGTTGCCATCACCCATGCGAAGAGGCTTGTTCAAACTGGAGTCCGAGCTTCTGATATTGGAGTAATCACCCCTTATGCAGCACAGGTAGGAGTTACTATGCTTAGATATTTCTAAAAAGCCAGCAGGGCCATCTCCAGATATACACAACTTTTACAAAAGTAGTACATTGTTTCTGCAATTTAGGTTGTGCTTTTGAGAGTCTTGAGAAGCAAAGAAGATGTACTCAAAGATATGGAGATCTCAACCGTTGATGGTTTCCAAGGTCGAGAGAAAGAAGCTATCATCATTTCAATGGTGCGGTCAAACTCAAGGCAAGAGGTATTTATGATCTTTTGTGATGTTTTTGGAGCCATTTAAGTAGCTATTTCAGTAGCCTATGTAGCACATATACATATATCATAAATGAAGAAACACAGATATAAAAGGTCAGGTGCACAAATGTATTTGTAAATATTAAAAATTAGGACTTGCAATTATAAATTTTTAGCAAAGAAAAATAAACATACATGTTATTTGAATGATTTTAATAATAATCAATTTATAAAATTTCAAAAATTTATGGATAATTTCTTAAAAGACAAAAGAATTAAGTAATGTACTACCTTTGTCCCAAAATCATAGTACTGCCTTTGTCCCAAAATGATAGTATTAGTTTACTATTGTCTATTAACTGGTCAACACAATTCACTTTTTATCTCTATTTTTTATACTCCCTTCGGCCCAAAATAAACTTCATTATTTCCCTTTTCGTCCATCCCAATGTAAATTCTGTTTTCCTTTTATGACAGCAACTTCTACCCACACAATTTTCACTTTCTTAATCTTTGTGCCAAGTCAAAACATGAGTTTATATGGGGCAAAGGTAGTATCAAAATTTTATAATATTCGAATTGGATTTTGGCCATTCTAAAGAGATTTTAATGTAGTTTCTAAATTTATAGTTGTAAATGATAAATGTCATTTCGTTAAGGAGAGTTTAACTTTTTGATTTGTCATACCTCGAAATCCACAATGAGTCAATGAGACTATCATTTTGGGACAAAGGGAGTATTTAATTTATTATTTACTGCTATACTAATATAAAACTATTAGCCCACACCAAACTCTTTTGGGACTAAGGCTTGGATGTTGTACTAATATAAAACAATGCAAAAATCCATCAATAAGGGGTCATGCTTTAACATTTAACCCATTGATACACATCTGTTCAGAATACGAGTATAAAGTTTTTTTAAAAGTTGTGGATGTCCCTAAACTTTTGATTGTTTTAGATACAGCATTAGATTGAATTATCCTTGCAGCATTGCCAATACCCAGTAGATTGTTGTCTTTCCTCGAGACTTGCTCATAGACTAATTAAAAAAAACTTCTTTAGGTTGGGTTCTTGAGTGACCGGAGGAGAATGAATGTTGCCGTGACACGAGCAAGAAGACAGTGTTGTATAGTCTGCGACACTGAGACAGTCAGCAGTGATAAGTTTTTGAAGCGTTTGGTTGAGTACTTTGAGGAGCATGGTGAATATTTAAGTGCTTCAGAATATGCAAACGAATGAGACATTTATTTGCAAATTTTACCATGTTTTCAAACCGAGTAGTTTCATTATAAGTAGTCCATTTTCTAGTTATGATCAATGTCGATGTTGATTTATTATCAATTCCATAGTTACTCATATGAGACATTTTGTTTCAAATGTTAAGTGAATTGATGATTTCTGATTTATTTGGCATAAGAGTTTATAATAATATGGTTCACTCCATGGTGGAAAATAGCTTCTTTGCGTATGCATATGGAATGTGATGAAGCAGTTAACTTGAACATGTGAAAGATTTCTGTGTGGGTGCTCCTATTCCTTTATTGGTTGCTTAAATTGTGAAACCCAGTTGAAAATAAGAATTACAGGCAGGTATTCGTCTTTCTTTCAAGTTCGGAGCTTCACTGTAATCATTCTCTATCCAATAATACTACATTTTTCAGTTATTCAGATCTGAACTTGCATAGTTGCATGGTATATAGAGCTTTATGTACAGCTGACAAAGACTCGTCGCAATAAATTTGGGGGTTGTAATATTATTGTGAGTACTTTCTTTACCCTTCCAATAGTTTCTTTGCTGTAGGTAGAATAATTATCTGATTGCAGCCTTTGCAGGTATTCATCTCACCTTGTAAAATAACTGGAAGTTTAAATGCCAGAATGAAATGAACCTCCCCCATTTGGCTACATAGAAATGATACAATATAAATGAATCATTACTCATTTCTCAAATCTCTAAATCTCCCGGACACTGACAACATTCCATTAATTTATTAATTTAATTTAATTCCATCCAGTGAACAAAATCATCATCCCCGTTTTTCCTACTCTTCTTAGCTGCAATATGACTCGGGGCAAAATAAGTTATGAACCTTTTTCCCTAATGTTGCCTCTAACAAAATGATACTCCGTATGTAGTAAATGGCTTGTGAACTGCATACACATGCAACAGGCAGGAGATTTAGGCTGAGGTCATCACTGAGAAGTTTAGATGTTCCATATAGTTGGGGTAAAACCGATGTCATCAATGACATCATATAAGCTACCAGCGGCCTCTACTGTTTGATTATCTTCTATTCCCATAGTCTCTTCCTGTGGGTACCCATTGTAGATTTTCTCACCAAACGAAGTTTCCGGTTCTGGGAAACAGCTTAACAAGTGATCCACAGTTGACAGGTGGTTATGATCTTTTTTAACAATTCCCAACTGCTGTAGGAACTCGTTCAGATCAATCTGGGGCTTCTCGGGCTCCTTCCTCTTAAGATCCGCTGCGAACTCTGAGAATACTAAGGAAAGAAAAGGAAGATGAAAACTGGTAAGAAAGACAAAATCTGGAATAATCTGTGTAATTTCTGTAAAAAAATAATCATATACTACGTATCATTTTCTTTTATACTTTCCAAGGCAAAACAAAACATAAACAAATGTCTTTTCCTTGGCAATTTTTTTCCTTTCTCAATTTTTTTCTGTGATCCAAACATACCCTTATTAGTTCCTTGATTATTAACAAAATGGGATTGTTCATTCGCGTGATTACGTTGGGAAGATGAGCTGGACGAAGATGCTTCTCTCTTCTTCAGTTCTTGGAGCCTTTGGTGAATGACATCCACATTCGGCTGGGCATTTAGGTTGAGAAGGCCCGTGGTAGGGAACATAGAAATGAAGTTGTTGCAGGAAGGGGACCATTTGAACGTATTGTGGGATTTGTGTAGCGGGTGGATGATGTCAGATCTCAAGTGTGGAAGATTTAGATAAGCTTCCGATCCATAGAGTCTTCTTGCGGCTTCGTCATAAGCCATTGCCGCCTCTTCTGCCGTGGCGAATGAGCCCAACCATATTCTTGTCCTCTTCTTAGGCTCTCTGATTTCTGCCACCCATTTCCCCCATGTTCGCTGCCGAACTCCTCGGTATTCGCATGTGGCATTCTGGGGTCCTCCCTTCCCTCTCGCGGGGCCTTTCTTCCATGGCTTAAGCGGGTTTCTCCTGTAGTTGTCCATTGTTTGGAAGTGGAAAAAGAAGAGTAGTGTTATTTTGAGAGTGAAGGGATGGGGGGAACATATAACAGAGTGGGGGTTTTGGAATGATAAAAATAAAGGTGTGTGGTAACATGCAAAGTTAAACAAACGATTGCATGTGAAAGTGAAACGCAAGAAAATAAACCGCTTACATTATACTACGTGTGATTTTTTTAAATATCTTACAATATACCATGTAAAATATTTTACATGATAAGTAATTAAGTATTGAGCAATGCAAATATTTTGCGTGTATTTGAAAAATGTATTGCACCAAACCAAATGATGTATTCATACTTTGACTGTTTGACATGGTTTCCCAAATTTTAGTATGCATACTAAACACGCTTACACGCCCTTAGACTACAGGTTGAACTCTAAAAGAGAAAAAGTCAACCTTCTTAACACTTCGTTTGGACTGCATATTTTAATTTGTCACATGAGCCTACATTATATCTACGGATTATTTAGCAGGTCAAAATCTTATTTTAGCTGATATATGATACTCTTAAAAACTGTGGGTGTGTATTGTGAATTGTGATAATGGAGAAGATGAAAAAGAGAAAGAAAGAATGTGACAGAGAGAGAGCGGAGGAGAGGTCTCGGGATTCAGGGTGTTAATGTCAGGGAAACATGTGAAATATTGAATTCTCAAACAGCTTGTGATTGTTCAAATTCAAGCTGTGTTTAGGTATATATATTCCGTACGTAGCAGGCGTAGTTTTCACAATCAAGAGCGCATCCCTCTTTAATTTTATCGAGTCCAAACATATTCCTTTTTAGGTGTTAATTTTTAACATTTTATTATTGTCTTTCTATATTTTGTTTCTCTTCACATATTACTTAAATAATAAATACAACGAGGTGCAGCAAACTATTATTTTCATTTTTTTGTTGTAAAAAATAGAACTTAGATGTATAGACCAAATAAACCAATAAATATATGAAATATTGAATCAAACAGAACTAAATTGAACCAAATCATTTTTCACTTTGATAATCCAAACTTCAAACTGAATCGGATCGGATCACTTCCAAACTGAAACACACATGGTTTTAGTTTGATACAATATCTCCTGAATCGAATCGAAACCGATAAAAATCGAACGGTAAACTGAATTGTTCACCCTAATAGTAGTTATCCTTAAAATGACAAATAAAGTAATTTGTGAAGACAACTTGAGGGGTGCACACAGGGGCGTGCATACATATGCATGTATAAGAAGCCACTTTGAAACCTGCACGGGTAGCTCAACTGGTAAATCGGTGGGAAAGTTGAACAAATGACCAATGATTGAAACCAGCAGCGACCGTGTGAGGCCAACACTCCTATGTGTTGGGCCGGGCCTCTGGTGCGCACGGGCAGTGGCGGAACCATGACTCATGACTCGCAGGAGCACAATAACAAAGAAATCATATATACGTACTATAAAAAAAGCATATGCATCACGAATATAACAATAAACAAAACTATAAAATTTAAATAAAAAAACTACTTAAAGAGTACCTTAATTTTGATTAGAACCTGACGCTTCAAATGAAGGAGATTCATTGAGAGGCGGCAATCTTTGTCTTCGAGGTGCCATACTCTGAAATCGCTTCACAATGACTTCATTCTCAATTTTAACAAATACATCTTTAGCAATGTAACACACCAAGCAATCTGTCAAGAATTCTTCTCCCATCTTGTTGCACAAATCACCAACAATGTCATCATCGGACAATTCAACTTCTATTCGAGCCTTTTTAACATTATTGTCATTGTTAGGAATGACATTATCTGATGAAGAAACTAAATTATTCGATGAAGAACCACCAATGCTTGGCTGTTTAGGTTCCGGTGTATAATATCGTAACACATCGATTTTTGTCAAACAACCTAGGCCAATTACAATTGAAATACTATGAGTATAATTGTATAAATTACATTATAACAGATTAACAACATTAAATAAAACAATAAATACACAATTATAAATTTACAATATAATTAACATTTTAATGAGATTATCAGTTATCACAACATAATTGCCAAAAACTTCAACACTGTATTTGAATTCAACAAATAAAAGTGTTCAACAATTAACATTTTATTTGAATTAAACAAATACAATTCAATAAATATTTTTTTAAAATGAAATTATCAGAAAAACAATTAGGTTAAGGCAGTAAAAGGCTTACCAGGAGTCCAGCCGTCCAGGAGTCTAGAGACGCAGTCGCTATTCTAGTTCCGGCTCGCTGACTTGCTGCTGTGATTTGTTGGCGTTGTAGCTTGAACGCAGTAGCTTGAAGCCTTGAACGCTGACTCGCTTTCAGTTTCCATCATTGTAGCTTGAACTTAGTTACGTAGGGGCAGGGGCTTGACCGCTTGAGTTGGGACTTGGGATCTTGGCGTTTTGGCTTTCGGGGAGTTGGGTTGCGGGCCGCCCAGGGAAGGGTTTTTGGGATTGGGTTGGCACAAGGGAAAAGGCTAAGGTAAAGGGCTTTTGGGATTGGGCTGCAGGGGCTCAACTAATTACATAGAGTAATATATATATATATATATATATATATATATATATATATATATATAGGGAGCGGTTCCGGTAAGAACAGATCTTAGGAGAAAAATGAGAACGAATCTGGACCGTTGGATTGTATTATGTGGAACCAAATTGTGCATTTGGTGAAACTGAAATGTGCATTAAATGATATTGAAATGTGCAAGATAAAAATTTAAACTCAAGTGTGCATTAGATGAAACTGATATGTGCGGAAAAAAAGTACAAAAATAACATCACATCGTACTTTTTATTCTGCACATTTCAGCTTCACCTAGTGCACATTTCAATTTCACGTATTGCACAATTCAACTGCACATAATGCCACTCTATTGTACCCTTTGTGATGCACATTTCAATTTCACCTAATGCACATTACAGTTTCATCTAATGCATACTGAATTTCACTTGAGGCAAATCTAACGGTCCAGATTCGTTCTCATTTTTCTCATAAGATCGTGTTCTTATTTGAACCAAAACCTATATATATATATATATATATATATATATATATATATATATAGAGAGAGAGAGAGAGAGAGAGAGAGAGAGAGAGAGAGAGAGAGAGAGAGAGAGTCCCGATCCTGTCAGGCCGGCCTGACGGAAACCGCCGTCAGGCCGAGGCCATCAGAGGCCCTTCCCGGTGGAATTTTTTTATGAAATTTTTTGAGCATGTTCCT